CACATATACACACACATATATACATATATATATATACACACATATATACACACACACACACACACACACACACACACTCTGTGTATATACTGTATTTGTAGAGCCTCAAAATAATGTGTGAGAAAAAGCTATAATTCCCCATATTGTAAAGAAAATAAATCTTCATAGCTCATCAATGTAGTCTAAATGATGGCCGTAAAATAATTCATATTCTTCTTCAGGTCCATGTGGCTATACCTAATATGTGTCATGCAATACAAGTTTACAAATGTACATGCATACAAATGCATCTACACTCTCAAATACATACAGTGTATGTATGAGAGTGTAGATGAGGAGTCTTTTAAATGTTTTCATACTTATTCAATTACATTTTATTTTTACATACATCAACTTTTTTTTACTTTATTACTATCACAGGGCTGTCAAGCCCCCTTTGTCGAGAATAGTGGCAGTGCCAGGTTCTCTTTATGGAGACATCAAGGGTTTGTTAGACCTCTGTTTTCAGTCCACACAGATCAGGAACACAGAGCTCAGGTACCACAATACCAATACATTATTATTTTAATGGGGTTTTTTTTTGCATTGAATAAATAACTGTTGTTTCCCAGAGCCAAGCCCCAGCGCCAAGGGCTCAAGGTCTTTGGCTACTAATCGTTACTTCATAGGTTTTGTTGTTTTTGATCATCAGTGAGGTAGGTGGATCAAAACGACTGGCCTTCATTACATTTATATTTACAAACTATACACAGAAATATTTTGGTTTTCTCATTCACATACAGTATATCTAAAAACATTAAAATGAATATGATTTCTATTTAATAAAAAGGAAATGATTCTTCAGTATTTAAATAAAAGTCACCAAGCATCTCAACAAATACCTTTGAAAAATAAAAAAAAAGCCAACAGATCTAAAGCTTGTTCTAAATCTGAGCATGCTAGACAACGGAGGGCCTTCTGTGGACTAAGATTCTTGCTCCAAATCGTTTACCCCAAGCTCTCTTTAAATTCAGTTAAATGGCCACCAGGTGGTGAATCTGTAATCCCATTTAAACCTCAGTCTACAAACTCATATTAATAATTTTGTCAGTCCAACAAGTGGGACAAAAATTGTGAGATTTCTTTAGGCTAATGCCTAAATTATAGTAGTTTATATTTTGTAATATTTTAGTGTGGCAGAGAATGTTTTTTTTTTGTTATTGCCTTTCTATGTAAAAATGGATATTTACATAAAATAACTGGTGAGAAGCTTTAATTATGTGAACCTACATTTTGTAACCTACAGTATATCAATAAGTAAACTTTGCGTTTATCTAAAAGTGCGCAAGTCATTTTCCTACTTTTCCTATGTTACATCATTCATCGTGAATTTGTTCCCAATGTTACCTGTAATCCTCTGGTATTTAGTGACATTGACTTGCAAATTAGAAGTGTGCCAAGCAGCCCAGATGCCATATCCTTCACAATGTTAACAGTACTATGATATATTCTTGTCAAACATTGAGGATCATTTTTTGTGGGCTCATCAATGTCCAAAACTGTCCAGTAGTAGGTGACTGTTTCTCCAGGCATGACTGTATTATTTTGTATCTCTTCACCTGCTAAAAAAAAAACCATGCATGTTATTACATTGTTTTGAATACCTCCATTTGAACTTCTACTACTATGCTTCCATAATGGTTATGAGGTAATGGGGTATTTGTTCCACTGGAGCACAGGGCCATGGCTTGCTATCAGTGCCCCTAAAGGAAGAAAATCTCAGTCCACCCTGTCACAATAAAATGGTTCTGCCAGGACTGATGCACCCATTCTCTATACATTCCTATGGAGGTCAAGAGACACCAAAAGGCAAGTGTCACCCGCTTGCTATTGGATTCTCCATTGGGATGAACTCCAGTGAGAAGAACCAGAAGGTTCAGCTAACAACAGAGATTAATCTATCTAACAACAGAGATTAATCTATCTAGCAGGAGGCAGGGGTTGGCTTTTCACTTGGGGTCATAAATCATAAGTGGGGTTCCAACCTTGTATAAGTCAACTTAAAACAAAAACAAACAAAAAATAAAGAGAGAGCGCTTCACTTTATTAACAGGGGCAGAATGCGACATGCAAGCAAAATACAAACCCTTAAGATCAGGTACATATCCCTTAAAGAACCTCTGTAATGACACTCCATGCGGATATATATTGTGGGGCTGGCTAGCCATATTTTTAAATACAACCTGAAACACATGGAAATATTTGTCACATCAGATATTCATTTGTGTGCAAAAGATTTCAGCTAGAGTTATTCATATTAAGAAAAGCATGTCTTGCGAATAACATTAAATGGTGCGTAAATATAATAATGTTATAATATAATAATAATAATAATATGATAAAAAAGAGGAAGAAGAAGATGAAGAATAAGAGGAGGAAGAAGA